TCGATCAATTTGAATTGAGTCATGATCAACGGTTAAAAGTACTCATCGACACCAAATGCATTAAATGTATTTGAGTCTGATAGATCGCGTACTTCAGTCAAATCAACGCCAAATGGAATTTGATTTGATTGAGTGGTATTCTGATCACTAGTTAAAAGTGGCTCTCCAACACCGATTGGCTCATCCAATGTAGGTGTATCTGATGTATTATTTGAGTCACATGTATTTTGCTCAAAAGTGTTAAAAGTTTCGAGATCAGCAGGATCAATTGGCTCACCGGTTATATACGTATTTCCTTGATCACGTACTTGAGTCAAATCGAAACCATATGAAACTAGAACTGGTTGATCAGTTTGATTGAAATTCTCATCATCATCTGGAGGACAGTAGTCCTCTAATAATCTTCTACCGTAATTCTTTTCGCAATTAATTCCGCAAATTAGAAGAACACCCACAATACCAATAACCATCATAAATCTTGGACTCATAGTTTTTTTTTTAAAAAAATCTCTTTAATTAATCGCAGGTCTCTTAAAAAAAAAGGTGAAGTGGAAGTAAATTGTAAATCAACTTTAATTTAATAGGAAACAAAGAATGGAAATCAAAATTTAATTACATTAAAGATTAGTATATGTTAACAAAATTAACTAGCATTTAATTGTTAAAATTAAAATAAGAAACTGATCTTATGAAATAAAATTCACATTTTGACACGAAACGTAATGCATTTGCTACTATTTTACATCTACATGGATCTATTTGGTGTGTTGCTTAGTTCCACCCTATATTTTGTAATTATCGATTACTTGGTAATAAATAAAGTTGTTTATTCGCCAAGAAAAATAATATCTGCATTTTTGTTCCATATTTGATGGGTGGGTGGGGAGGACCAGGAGATAATGAACCTGGAAGTTATTTATGGAACGTATTTTTTCTACTTTTATTTGAAAAGTCTATATTTTCTTAAAACGTATTTTTCTTTATTTTAATATATATATATATATATATATATATATTGGGGATAGAGGGAGGGAGTTACCAGGTGAAAATCGAGCCTCATCTATAAGATGAAAGTTCTTTTAGCAAACTAATTAAATTACTAAGATCCTCCAAACAATTAATCAGAAGTGTTGTGATTTATTTTTATAAAAGCTTCCACTTTTTTCGCTCACTTAATAACTTGAACCCAATAAATTGTATGATTAGAGATGAAAGCTGCTTACCATCTTAACAACTCGTCTTGTCATTTTCCTTTTTCGAAAAGAGACTTATTTTCCTCAAATAAAAATATTTTCCAAAATATTTCAATCAATCAAACGTAAAAAAAAAATATATGTATCCTTACATTATAACCTAACTAAAAAATAGTTTATAAGTTAGGTTGTTTTCTTTTTCCAACCGCAATAAGATGCGCTTACCTTATTACTATAAGAAGATTATCAAACTTTATAGATCTATAAGGGGAATAAGATGCACTCACCTACTTATACGGCGAACTCTCTAAGTGAAAACATGTGATTGATCAAACACACCTAACAAAGAAAAATAAAGTCTTAAAGTGACTTTTTATTTTAATATATACGAGTCAGGAAGTTACTATAAAATTTTAAGGAGAAATTTTCAAAAATGACTGTAGTTTGAACGTAATTAGAGATTTATAGCTATAATTCATATAATTATGAATTATAGCTAGGATAAGAGAGAGGAGAGAGAGAGAGAGAGACAGAGAGAGACGAATTAGACTAGGAAAGAGAGGAGAGAGGTGAGCGAGATCTGGGAGAGAGAGAAGAGAGGTGAGAGAAGTTGAATAGTGGTTGTATTTATGGTATCAGGTAATTGTATAACGAATTCAAATGATATAACTAGTGTATCAAATTGTATTCATTTTAGGAGGTAAGATCCAAGTGAGAATGAGAGAGAGATGAGAGATGATAAATACATGTTATATTTGTTGTATCGTAAATACAATTGATACAAAATATAATACATTTAATACAAAACAAGTGTTATAATTGTTTGAATACAATTGATCGATTTCAGATATTGAATACAATTGTATCAATTGTATTAACGAACATAATTTGTGTCAACAAATACAATAGGCTGAATATAATACAATTCATACAGAATAAGTATACAATTGATACATAATACGAAATATAAATGCATTTAATACATAATTTAAATATACAATTATCATATTTATGTGAAATGTTTTTAAGCTCTTATTGATTGGGCTGGAGAGAGAGGGGCGAGAGAGAGACCGGGGAAGGAATTATAAGGTGAGAAACAAATTACTATCGAATCCTTACGAAAGTTTATATAACCAACTAACTAAGCTACTACAATTCCCCCAAAAAAATCAATCATAAGTTTATGATTTGTTTTTTAACCCCCCTTGGGACTTTTCACTTCCTTTTTCTTTTTTTTGAGAAAATTACGTGGGATGAAAAACATCCAAATAATAAGTTAATAAGAGTATAGTTTAATTTATTTACTGTCGGTAAAAATAATTTCAGTTTTTTTCTTCATATTAATGAAACCCACTACCTATTTGTATATCGAATAAAAATAGCCATCCAAAAATTCTGTATACAATTTTATACATAATTAAATTTATCTCTCTTATCCTCATTGCATATTTTTCTCCTAAAATCACTATTCCCTTCTAATTTGAATTTCGAATTGAGAAAATTTCGACCTTCTCCCACCTATTGTACTTCCACTTTTCACAGTTAACCGCTAAATTCGTGTCTTTCAATATTTTTTTTCTTGATTCCTTCTTCAACAATTGAATATGTAGTATGTTGGTTAGTTTTTTAATATATTTTTTTAAAAAAATTCCTTATTACTTATTAGATTACAAGTCTTTCAAAATCAAAATGGGTGGTTCATTTCCATCTATGAGGATTACGAGAGGTATGTCATTGCATGTCAATACTGGGTTAACTCGGGATTTTGGGGTCAATGTAGGGTCTATGACAAAACATAAACAAGCTCAAGTTGAACAATATGTTAAATTGAGATTCAAGAAAAAACATGACCAAATGACAATTCAAAAAGTCATCAACAACGCAAAATCTAGCCGCATCAAGATTGTTGTGTATATACAAATTACCAAAGTTATGTATATAGTGGATTGTATATTAAGATAGTAGATAGAAAGTATTATGAGACACTTGTTATTTGTATATTCTATTAGTTGTATACCAATTACTAAAGTTATGTATATTGTGGGTTGTATATTAAGGTAACATATACAAAGTCTTATAAGACAATAGTTATTTGTATACAAATATTTAGTTTTGTATAAAAGAAATTTGTTAAAATCATTGTACATACATATACAAAATTATAGTACATCATACAAAATCGTTGATATGTACAAAAATTACGAACATAATAAAATATTGTACATATAAAAATAACACACTCAAATGCACAAACAAATTTCAAGATTACCATACATACAATTGACAAATGAATATTATACAATTAGTTTAATAATTAATTTAAAAGAATAAACACGAAATCACATATGCACATATACAAATATAATCATATACCAAAATTATTGTACATTATACAAATTTCTAGAAATATAAAAAATATATATATGAACATAATAAAATATTGTATACAAACCAACTACACTAAAAAAATTAAAAATAAATACGACATACTCTTTTTCTTTTTAAATAAGCACACTTGTCATATATACAATCTCCATTGATGGTCCAATATACAATTAATAACACATAATAAATTACACACGAATATTGTATAAAAAATTATATAAAATTTCTCAAATGTATACAATATAATAACGTTTGAGTGTTTCATACGATTTATCTGATTTTCTTTTCAATATTTGATTTCGAACGGTTAGCTTAAATCATGTGATTGTGTAAATATTTGTTACCGTATTTAACTACTGTTACCATTCAATGAAAAAGTAAAATATTGAATAAATTAAAAATAAAGAACGTTTTATACAAAATTAAAAGATACATAAGAAATTAAACTATACACATAAAATGTAATTATGTAAACTATACTCATATAATGTTATTTCATAAATTACGTTTGTCATTTATGAAATTTCCCCTTCTTCTTTTTTTTTTAAAGAAAAACTACACAATTGGACATAGTTCACTACTATATATACCATTATTATCTATATTTTCAAAATATTGTGTATCTTACCGCTAATGAAGAATTACATATCATATATTGAGAAAGATGCACTTAGATACGAATAATTTTTCTATCAAATACACTAAAGTAGGAAAAAATGTGAGTGAGATGGGGAGGGAGGCGAAGGAGATTAGTCATATACCTTAGATACATAGGAGAGTGACGAGCGAGATGGGAGAGAGGAGAGGGAGACTAGCGATATTTATTATGTACATGTAAATCCACTTAGATACAATGTGACTAGAACAAATTACAATTGATTTTACCATATGTATCCCGATATACGTGTATCTGAACGTATCTAGACACTCAAAATCTGTTAAGATACGTTACATAGTATACTAGAGTGTATCTAAGTGAAATTTATACAAGTTCACCTTCGGCGTACTACTAGTTTTCGGATTCGAGATATCCATCCTAGCCACTGTGGATGTATTAATTGCCCAATCGATACATCGTAAGGAATCAATGTTGGACTTATTAGATCCTTAGCAATTCATGTGGGGATCGGTCGTTGACGATATCTTAGAAAACCTTTTTATGAATTTTATAAGAGGTCAATCGATGTACTGATGCTCTATTTATCACCAGATAGCAATGAATACTATATGGTAGCGGCATGAAATTCCGACGAGCAAGTTGTTCCAACTCGACACACGTCAAAAACTCTTATAGTTTTCTTGTTGACTCGAACTCATAATTTCAAAATTGAAGGTGATAAACGTTTACCATATGAGCGACCTCTCAACCTTGTCATATTAAAACAAACTTATTTTTCACCTTCAAACATGTCATTTTTAAGGAAACTTATTTTTCACCTTCAAACATAAATAGGTAAAAATTGAAAAGCATTCTTCATTATATATATCCTCACATTTTAATGAAGTCAAAAAACAGATTTATAAGTTGGGCCCTTTTTTCCCAATAGCAATAATATGGGCTCAACTTATTAAATATGAGGAGAAGATTTCAAATTTCATTGCTTTGTGTAATCTGCATTAGATACTTTCAATATGAACTAATCCATGCAATAATTGACACTAAGATGAGTCAACATAAAAACTGAAAAATTTACTATGAAGGAAAAAATAATTAATGTTGGACTAGACCACAATCAACAAGTCATAAATTTGTATCTACAATTTTTTTATATATAAATTATATCTGTGAGATTTTTGAAACTCCCATCACAAAAAAAATAATAATCATGAAACTCCATTACTTCATCTTACTCTATCTTGCAAGTCTCTCTCATTTTGCGCAATCCAAAAATGATGGTTTTAGCATTGAACTCATTCATCGCGATTCACCAAAATCGCCATTCTATAACCCTGCCTTAAATCAAAGGCAACTAATGTACAACGCGTTACAACATTCCATCAATCGGGCAAGTTTCTTATGGTCTAAATTATCAACTTCTATAATTCCTGATATACACGGAGTATATCTCACGAAAATTTCAATTGGCACTAAACCAAGGGCCAAACTAGTTGCTGTTGACACAGGTAGTGATCTTATATGGATACAATGTGAACCTTGTGTCCATTGCTACGAACAACGAACTCCAATTTTCAATCCGCAAAATTCGTCTACATATAGACCAATTACTTGCAACTCTACTGAATGCACGAGTCTTCCGGGAGGCTCTTGTTATACGAGGAGAAATACATGTTTATATTCTGCTAGATATAACGATGAATCGTACAGCTATGGTGATCTAGCTAGTGAGACGTTCACATTTGACGATGCAACAAATACTACTCATCCAATCAGATTGTCTATGTCCAACATAACTTTTGGTTGTGGATGGATGAATGATATCACTACACTTGATACTGAACCAGCTGGAATTATTGGACTTGGAGCTTCACCTTATTCACTTGTGTCCCAAATTAAATCCAAATTTGGGCATAAATTTTCCTATTGCTTAGTCCCATTTTTCCAATTAAATGTGTCTAGTAGATTGAGTTTTGGTGAAAATGAAGCCTTGATTTCTTCAACTAAACATATGGTTACAACCCCATTATTTTTGAAACCTCCAAAGGTATATTATTTCCTAAAGTTACTAGGAATCACCATTAGGAATACAACGATTCGATTTCATAACACATCGAAGAAAGCTCACAAGGGAGGGAAGATTGCTATAGACTCGGGGACAACGTTTACGTTTTTACCAACACATATGTACTCAGAGATGGAGAGAATAATGAAGCGCGAGATAAAATTGAAGCCTCTAAGAAGCAACACAACGCGATTTTTGCGATTGTGTTATCAAGGATTGGGTGTTTCAGATGTTCCTCCGGTGATATTTGAATTTCAAAATGCAAAATTGGAGTTGGAAGCGTTAAATAGTTTTGTTAATATTGGAAATGACGTTATTTGCCTTGCTTTTGCTCCAGCAAAACATTTGCCTATATTTGGGAATATAGCACAAACAAATTTCTTTGTTGCCTATGATCTTGACAAGAAGACTGTTTCATTTAAACCCCAAATTTGTGCCAAATTGTAACAAGGTTTATATGTCTGATATTTATATGATTATATCTATCTAAAAGTATGTGATTGGACTCTTCAATTTCCAAATAAACACATAAATTATATTCGCTCGGTTTCTTTTTACTTGTTCAGTTTTTTTTTCTTTTTTTTACTAATCAAGAAAGAACATTTTTACTCTATTGTCTTTGAAAAATTTAGTAAGTAAAGATACTTGAAATTCAATCAATAAAATAGGGGTAAAATGATAAACACACTATAGCAATCAATGTTTTCTTAACATGTGTGTCAAGTCAAAATTTGACAAGTAAAATGAGACAGAGAAAGTATGAAATATTTTTGATAACTTACTCAAAGTTTTCTAATTGTCCCAGTTGAGACTTAGAGCCCGTTTGAATTGGTTTAAAAGTCGATCAAACCTACTTTTGAGTCGGTTTTTGACTTCTAAAAGTGTTTGACAAATATAAAGAATAATTTTAAATAAGTAAAAAATGATTTAAAATAAGTTATAACGTGTTTGGCAAGGTAAAAAATGACTTAAACTAAATCGAAAACCAAAAGTAGGTATTCCTTACTTTTTATTTTTTGACTTACAAGTCATTTCAGTTTGACTTTTTATTTTTGACTTAAAAGTTTTTTTTTAAAGTCGATCAAAACGGGCTATCCCAAAATTTAGCTAGCATTTGACCATAGATTTCCAAATATTGTTGACAAATATTATTTGAGTGAAAATTTGGGGTGAAATTTCACCATGTGTTTGGGCATAGTATTTGGGAAATATATTTCACATTTTTAGAAAAATATATTTTATACCCATAAGTTTTAGAAACTATCAAAACTAACTATAAGTTTATATTACAAATCAATTGGATGTTTGTTGCAACAATAAAAATAATGTTTATGACACTAGAGTAATGTGGTAGTTTGGAATAAATGCAACAAGCATCATTTTATAAATCGTGAACCAATTTTTCATCAACAAGCATATCATCATTTAATATTTACTGAATATTTCATCATTACTTTGGTGTTCATGTAAAAAATCATATAATACAACACAAACAACTACTATAAAGGATATTTTTGTAAAAGATAAAAGTTTGGGATAAAATTTCAATTTTCAAAAGATCTTAAATAATGAGATTTGACCCAAATATTAGAAAAAAAAACTAGTATTTGAGAGTTTGAGATATTTGCCAAAAATATTTTTCAAATAATGACGAATTATATGGACAAACATTTTTTGCCAAAAATTTTCCCAAATATTATTTGGGAAATCTATGGCCAAAAGGACCTTTAATATTCCTCCATCCAACAATGATTGTCCACTGTACTATTTTGAGATATTCAATAATACTTGTCTATTTTATAAAATCAATTAATAATTTTACAACTTAGTTCCTAATTTACCTTGTCATTTCTCCATTATATTTTTCAAGATATTAAATTTTGATATTTAAAAGTGATATAATAAAATTTATTCCTCTGTTTATAATTTCTTAAAATTGTGCAGTGTATAGTGAATAATATTATTGGTAAGAGAAAAAAATAACAAGAAGTCAACAACAATAACTTCAGTAATTAACCCCTCCCCCCACCCACCCACCCAAAAGGGAAAAACACACAAACACACTACTCCATATAAGCAAATTAATTACATTAATTGACTCACTACTCATTGATTCTTGATTAATTTAGCAAACACACTTTTGGCCCAAATTAATTACTAGGCCTCCTCATATACATATATCACATTTGAAAAGAATATATGATATACGTATACTTTATCTTCGTGGGACAGAGATATTATTTCCAATAAATCCTCGGCTTAAAAAAATGTAATCAAACACGTTTGAAAGAAGAGTGACAACACTGGAATTATCTTTGATCTCGAGTATTATTACATCACAAGTGATTTTATTAAGACTTAATCAAAGAGACTATAACATTTGTGAAAATATTCTTCTCTTTGGCCATAGTATTGGCATAAATTTCTCTACACTTATTAAACACAACATCCATCAATTTATTATCATCACCAAAATGACTAACAAGTAAAGGTTGAGCAAAAGCTCTTACACTCTGTGCCTCATTGTAACCTTCACAACTAGAATCCATCTGGTGTTCTAAAGTTCTCAAAAGGTCAATAGTGAAAGATCCCTCCTTTTCAACTACATACTGTATTTCTGCGGGAGATGGAGAGTACGTTGGAACGTTGAACGAATCCATTTTCTCTTCTTCTATCGATCCCTGGTATTTAATTCATACTCAGTAAGAACATCATGACATGTTTAAAGTCACAAACTTCTAATAATAAGTACTAATTTGAATTTACGTACCTCTGTAACCAAGTCTTTGAGCGCGATGGCCAAAGGCTCCAACATAAAGCGACACACATTGCTTAAGTGATGCTCATTTTCTTTACCAGGCATGGCTAATACCATACGTCCACCTTTCACCAATTCTTCTGAACGATACTTGAGAAAAGTCGCGAAATCTCTTTTATATTGCTTGGAATATGCTTTGAGGACGCTTGATGGGCTTGTACTTGATGCATAAATAGTCCCTTTGTTATTCTCAATTCCATCAGGCACCTATATATACAATCCAAAACGTACCTACAGTCAGCTACCTGAAATAAGTACTACATCATTTTCTTTCTAAATTAAATATGACAACAACACACACACACACATATATATATACCTCATACCAGTCTAATTTCACAAGTACAATCCGAGGAGGGACTCGATAAATAAAAATGCATTTAGTGCTTAAACTTGAAATCTCAGTTAGTTTATATATATAATGTAATTAAAAATCTATACATGTGTTTGCGTGAAACAACATACCTAGGTGAGACAATTGAGTGGGTTGGGTTAAATTTAGACGGGTCATAATGAATTAAGATAATAACTAGGTCAAGACCCGACTCAATCCAATTTTACTAACTTTGTTTTATTTGTTCTTTTAAACTATTTTAGCATACCTGAGATAGCCAGTGAAGACTGTAAGAAGAGTGAACAAAATGCAGTTTTTTGGAAGGAAAAAGTCTAGTATAGAATGAACCAGCAACTGCCGCAACAAAGCAATTTGGAGGATCAAATAATCCATCTTCTGATCTCATATTCTGTTTTTTCAAATCTTCATAGAATGTTGTCAACAATCGAAAAATGGTATTGAAATCATTGCCAGGAAGATCATTGAAAAAAACATGAAATTCGGGCAATTTTTGGCCATTTTCTGTACATTTTTCTCGAATAGTGTGAATGAGTTGGAGAACTGGCAAGTAAGTGTTAGGTCCAGAGGAACAACCTAACTCGGCGATGCGTATGGTTTCCCATGTTGAAAGGCTGTGGTACAGAGCAGATATAGCTTCGCATGTTATTGATTTTGTTGCGAGGATCACCTTTTGCTGAACATATTTCAAAATTAAATTATCAAAATTTGAAAATTATTACGAAAATTAAAAAGTTTGAGTGATGATACCTGAAACAGAGAATTTTTTGCATAACTAGAGTCTCCAATTCCTTCAGTCATGTGAAGAATATTAGCAACTTCCATTTTTTTTCTTCTCTTGGATTTCTCTATGGAATATGTAATGTTTGGTATGTAAGATGTAATTTTGACTTATATCATGATTTTAGCAAGCTGTTTTTCTTTTTTTTTTTTGTCGGATATTTCTAATGTAATCTAGAATAATTCTATTTTTTTGGTCTGTTTCAAAAAAGTTTTCTTTTTTTTTAATATTTAACTTTAATTTTTCACATGATGTTTAAGATCACAAAATTAAAAGATATTTTGATACATTTAACATAACTTTAATTTTAAATTAAAAAATTAAAAAATTTTGTTTCTTTTTTTATACTCCGTTTTAAATCAAAGTAGGCTTTTAAATTAGAGGGGATAATAAATGCAAAAGATTTGATAGCCCTAAAGGTTGAGACTTTGCGCGCCGTAAAAATTGACAATACATTCCATCACTATAAATTTGGATTAGACCAAACCTTTTTTTGGTAGTTGAAAATTACGTCAAATTAAGTAGGCAATGGTCATTTAATAACATGTCGCGATATAAAATTATGGGATAAAATTAATATTTAGATATGTAAATTTATATAATGAGATAAAATTTCATATTCTTCAAAAATAATGATTTGAAAGTTTTATATCACGATTTGAGATACTGTAAATACGAAAATTGATTTACAAGTTTATATTTTGTTAAAATTGTCCCATATTTATATCTATTATTCATTTATTTCATATTTAAATAAAATTTATGATCATATCATTAATTCTCACCGACATATAATTTATTTTTACTTTAAATCAATTTTCTATTTTATCATATATATACATATATAATTAATTAATTTTTTTCAAATTTATTACTATTATTTTAATGGTTAACTAAAATGTAATTTTTCGTCTATATTGATTAAACAAGACTCACCGTAATGACTTTGTAATAAGTTATTTTGCAATTTAATAGTTTATTTGTTTATTCATAAGATTGAATAAATAATTGAAAATATTTTAATAGTTTTACAACTTATGAAATTTTTACTTTTATGAGAAAATATACCACACAAAAACTTCAAATCGCATATCAAATAAAAACTTTAATTTCATATTATAATTTTATATCATAATATCATATTGCATCACTAAAGTTACGCACGGCAAAAATACAAGGACAAGTGGAGCTATATAAATTGAAAAAACGAAAATTGTTGGTAGTTTTTGCCTTCAAAATAATATACGTTCTAACTTATATATAACGTTATTCGACTAAATAATATTTGAAAATATTATATTTAATGACAAACTAATAAATTAAATTAATTGCTATAACCATCCTTTGATACTGTTTGCCAGTCACCTCTCTCCCTCAAACTCTCGCTCGCCACTCTCCTCTCTTGCTTCATCTCTCGCTCGCTTTCTCTCACTTTTATACAAATATAAGTTTATAAAATCTGTTTTTATTTGTATAAAACATAGGAAATTGTATAAATATATATATATATTTTTGTTACCTTCTCTCCCTTTTCCAAATCTCGCTTGCTACTCTCCCTAATTTGTCTCGTCTCTCTCGCTTATACAAACAGAAGCGAAGTGTATAAATTGTGTTTCTGTTTGTATAAAGCGAGAGAAAATTGTATACACACATGTAATATATATATTTTCGTCCTATACACTTATAATTATAGAATAAAAATATTCCCCCTGCCAGTTTCTTTTGCCTTTCTCTCTTTCTCGTTTTAT